TTAAAATTAAAAAATTATTTTTTGTGCCCAAAATCATCACATTATTAGACTATTCAATAAAACAAACCGCTTTTGAAAATATTAAGCCATTCCAGAGAAATTTAAATTATAGCCAAAAACAACCTTTCCGTACGACCTAATATATATATTTATTGTTAAGCATTACTTTCAAATTAAAAGTAATATGTAATAAAATTGCTGAATAATAATTATTTTATCTAAAAGTTTGCTAATATCATGCACCTGTTTTTATAAAACAAATAAAATGCATTTTTCTTATGAATAATGATAATTAAAATGAATAACACTTGTGAAATGAAACAAATGTAGACAGTCCTTGCACATCATTTAATTGTCATTAGCCAGTAAGTAAATGTACAGAGCAACAGTAGCTACAATTAATTGCTAAGAATAATATTTGATATAAAAAGTGTTAAAAAATTATTACTGATTATACATAACTATAATTAAATTTTTAATTAAACAAGCCACAGACGTATCAGTTAAATAACATAGAAATGGTACTGGGCACTTGTCTGTTAGTTTTAAATATAATCGCAGTCATGGTGCAATATATTACAACTTGGATGTGGACAAGATTTTTAACTTACGAACAAATTCAGCAACGTTTCACTAAGAAAGTTGCTTTATCATTTACGCACTTACTCAAATTCACCATGGACTATTACGATGGATTAAAAACGATGAGACCAGTTAGCAATTTATCAAAACTTGTAAGTTTTGTATATTTCTGACAGATTTTCATAACAATAATATAATTCCGTATATTATAAAAATTTAATAACTATATGTATTGAATTGTAATAGGTAATTATGAAAGGGCAGTGCTTTTAACTTGCTACAAATTATGATAAATACTCAATATGTAATAAATGCAGAGTAAAATTATTGTTTGCATAGAAATTGCTAGAAATCGGAGGTGGTGCTGGGAGATTATTTGCAAAGTACCCGGATAATTGTCACTGTTACGCATTGGATTTAAATTCACATTACGAGCCTTATTTTAGACAAAATATTTCCAAATACCCGACCCTTGAGTTGAAGGACTACATCGTCGGAGATATGGAGGATATGCACCAAATCGGCGACAACTCTATGGATGCCGTCATTTGGTGTGCGGTCTTATGTTCGGTCAATAATCCCACGAAAGCACTGAAGGAAGTCATGAGAGTCTTAAAACCGGTATACAATCTCTCTCTTTCTCTCTCTCTCTCTCTCACTCACTCACTCCCTCTGTCTATCTGTCTGTTAAAAAGTGAGTGAGGGAGAGAGTAAGAGAGCGAGAGAGTGAGAGAGAGAGAGTCAAATATTATCATCTTGTTAACTCTAATAGTTTCCTCAGTTTATAAATATATTTTAAAACAAAATTTATGAATAATAATTCTAGGGTGGACACGTATACTTTAGCGAGCACTGTTTGTACCCTGGTGATAATGTTGAGCATTTACTGTTGCAATATTGCCAACACGCTATGAATGGTATGCATAGAGCACTTAAGGGCGGCTGTCGACTGACTCGCAAATCATGGGATGACATCGATTTCCGGGACCTCACTATTAACCACGTGTTTCGTAACACCGCACGGGATATAATCATGGACTACTGGATTTGGGGACATGGGGTTAAACCATAATAGATCTTGGTCATTCTAAATGATATTATTGAATTGAATTTAGATTAATTAATGATTCCTTGTTTAATTTAGATTTGAATAAATATTACAATTACTTTATTTGTTAGCAAACAATACGATTTGATAATGTTAATTAAATGATACTGATTTTTAATTATTAAAATTCTGTTGAATAAAATTAAATCAAGTCCCAAAAAACGTTTGTAATTTATGTTTAATAATAATTACATCTTACATTTACTTGAAAAATATAATCTTTATAATAATTATAACACAGTATCCAATATCACAACATTATTATCCAATATCAACTATATATTGTTACTTTCTATTAAGCCCAGTATTTAAAAGTAATTATTTACTGTTTCCGAGTTTGCATTCATATTATCGTATAATTTCATATAAATGTCAATATCTGTAAATAAAATAACATTGTTAAATTAAAATTATTTAACAATAAATTAATAATTAACTGAAATAAATGTGCATTTGTTGAGTGCAGCGAACCCTCCGAAAGTGAACCCAAATGTACGCGTATTTCGCATTACAGTCGCAAACGTATGCCATTCCCTATACTCTCGATCAGTCATATCCCGGGTATTCATACCATTCAGTCTATCCATAATATCCACACATTTAACGCCAATTAAACCGCATATATAACACATAATGATTAATTGTAGGCCACATGAAACCCTGTTAAATACTAGGGAGTTAGCATAAGTGCGCAAGTATGGTAAATCATCAACTAAAGTTACTAGATAAATTGCAAACATTAAATTCACAATAGTTGTCAGGATGTTTATTGAGGTTAATACTGTCATATTGTTATCAATAATTTTAATTGTATCATGGATGTTTTGATACATTCCCTTATAATCTGTTAAAACAAATAATTAGTTTTAATATTCAAAAATATAATCCCGTAAATTTTTAAAAAAATTATATATTACCAATTTTACAAATATTGTTGACTTTTAATATGTTATGTAAATGATCAAGCAAACTGGAACAATATGCCGACATAGCACATATAATTGGTGTTGCCATCCACGCAGTATAAATTGTATATGAATACTCAAATATACTAACCATGGTGGACCAATCATTAGTTAAATTTGTAGTAATACTAGATATAAATAAGGCCCATACTACAATTGAATGAGCAAGCCATAAAATAAATACAAAGAATGTTATCCAGTTAATTTTTAGTACTAAGTTCCTATAAGGTCCAAGTCTAACGAGTTTAACTTTTATTGTCATTTTAAATATTTTACTCAAAAATAATTAATTATAAGCACATAAATAATTAGAGAATTAATCATGAAATAACACTATATTTATGTTAAGGAAATACAAAATTTGACTACTTTATTATTAATATAATGAATACAATAAATTTTTAGAAAATAAATTAACATCAATTGAAAAACTTAATTTGCATTCATTGTAGAGGAATAGGTCATCATTGGAAGTGATCACCACTCGCACCACACATTCATTTCATAAGGGGTTTGATGTGAAAGTTGTCGGGAATCGAGACATTCATTGCATGCAAACCATCGATAACTTGCGGACAATAATATGAACTCAAGTAAAGTGTGAACTCTTTGTTCGCCACTCTTTGCTCAATACGCGTGACACAAATTGGCACCAATTCTCTGCCAGAGTATGGATAGTAACCAAAATTTTCTGGATTACAATTGCCATTCAAATAACGCAGACATCCCACGTTATTGAGTGTCAATTGTTTCAGTTGTGGACATCCGGTCATAATGAGTGTAATTGTCTTACAACTGATACGAGTATTCTTCAAACACAAGGACTCAATGTTTGGAAACCTTGTGAGCGTTGATTGCATTTTGAGGGTATATTTAATGAGATCATGAAAATCATTTGAATATTGTGTGATTTCATTGCGATTGTGGATTTGTCGCACAAAAAAGTTTGCACTCAAATCTGAATTACTTTTAGTATTCATATTCCCATTCTTTGGTTCCGATCCAAACCACGGATTATTCCTCGGTTTCCACACTCTAATAGTCTTTCCAATACTGAGTCCATGTCTATAGTTGTTGACAGCAATTCCCACGCAATCCATGAATTGGTGGCAAACCCTCTCTAATCTCAACAACTGTTTCACTGATGACTCATTGAATATTAAGCCTAAGATGTCGTCATTCAAGATGTGATGTCTTTGAGTGGATGTCTTGTGTGAGTTGTGGTCAATATTATCGGATATAACATACAGTGATTCAAGACTTGCATTCATATCTTTGGACATAATTATGGGAAAATCTTATAAGCTAACTGAGAATCAATTGCACAAAATGTTAGACTTAAAATGTAACAATGAAATTTACTAAATGCTCGGGTTCACTTTAATTTGTAATCTATGGCGTGAATGGCAGTAACAATTTAGTTACCGGTTATATAAAATGATTCAATTGTTGTATTCGTAGCTGAAACAGAGATACTTATGGCGATTATGATTATTACCCAGACGCCCTTTTAAACCAAATTTACTTTCAATTATTTCTAATACTTTCCATACATTTCTCTGGTAATTACAAGCTATTAAAAACATCTAAAAAATATGAATATGATTTATAATTATCAAGAGTAGAGAAATGAATTATTAGTTTATTGAATTACTAAAAATCATTTTTTGCAAAAGCAATGATCACTCGCACCACACATTCATTCCCCGATGGGTTTAATGTGGAAGTAGTCTGGAATCGATACATACGTTGCTTGCAAACCATTGATAACTTGCGCACAGTTTCTGGAATTGAGATAAAGTGTGAACTCATTCCTCGATACTCTTTGCTCAATACATATGCGACAAAATGCCATCAATTCTTGCGCAGGATATCGCACTTTCAAAAGATATTAATTAATCATTAAAATAATAACTTAAACATAGCTGGCATTCAAATATCAAATACCATTCAGCGTTAATCGCTTGAGATGTAGACATCCGGTGATAATCAGTTCCATTATCTCGCTATCCATACGACAGTCCGACAAAAACATGGACTCACTGTTGGGATACTTACTGATAATTGCCTGCAATTTGTGTCTGTATTCAATCAAATCGTAGTAATCAATGAAATGTCTTCTCAGTTGAGGTAACTCGCGGTTTATGCGGCAAAACGGATATCTCTTGAGCTCTTCGTTTGGTAGGAATCGGTTGACATGAAAAGCTCGACTCATATCTAAATTCACTTCATTTCGCTTATTTAATACACTACCATTACCAGGGTCAAGCAATGGCTCATATGGATAATAATATGGATCACTGCCATAAAAATCATTTATAATGTAAAAATATAAGCAAATTCTTATGTCCGATGCTAATGATTGTTAAATATAAAATACTAATAGTGGCCATGAGGTTACTTTTATTATTGCAAATTGTTAGTAATATTATGTAGACAAACACTGTATTATCACAATTATCAATATCTATTTGACGAAAAAGAAACCTGTAAATTTCCTAAAAATTACTTAGTGTGAATTTTAAAATAAAATAAATTTTTATTATAAAAGTCGCATGTTAATTTTTAAATTAAATGTGATCAGAATTTTTAAAATTAATATTGCTCAAATTTTTGTTTTTAAAATAATGTTTTATTTGATATACAGTATTCTGATTTTAATGCTTATTTATACAGTAATTTTAATACAGACAAAATGAGCATTATGATTATTGTATCTATATAATAATTTCTTGAGTATTACTGATAATCACATTATTTTTATGTATTTTAAATTGTTTAGTGGTCCTAAAAATTATTAGTATTGTGGTGAGCTTTCAAAATAAATAAACTTGGTACTAATTAAAAAAAATGTCAACATTTATAACAGTTTCCAAGTTACAATAATTCAATTCAAGTTATGTGCGAATAATTATGTTAAATTAATTATTTACAATTTGCGATTGTTCTATGTCCCAGGTAATTTTAAAACCACATATCCTTTAATGCATTTATAGGAATACTAGTATTGAGAAAATTGAATTTATGGTTTTAATGGTTTTATAAATACTTATTTCAAATTAAAAGTAATATGTAATAAAATTGCTGAATAATAATTATTTCATTCAAAAGTTTACTAATATCATGCACCTTTTTTAATAAAACAAATAAAATGCATTTTTCTTATGAATAATGATAATTAAAATTAGTAACACTTATGAAATGAAACCAATGTAGACAGTCCTTGCACATTATTTAAGCCATTATTTAATTGTCATTAGCCAGTAAGTAAATGTACAGAGCAACAGTAGCTACAATTAATTGCTAATAATATTTGATATAATAAGCGTTAAAAAATTATTACTGATTATACATAACTATAATTAAATTTTTAATTAAACAAGCCACAGACGTATCAGTTAAATAACATAGAAATGGTACTGGACACTTGTCTGTTAGTTTTAAATATAATCGCAGTCACCGTGCAATATATTACAACTTGGATCTGGGCAAGATTTTTAACTCGCGAACAAATTCAGCAACGTTTCACTAACAAAGTTGCTTTATCATTTACGCACTTACTCAAATTCACCTTGGACTATTACGATGGATTAAAAACGATGAGACCAGTTAGCAATTTATCAAAACTTGTAAGTTTTGTATATTTCTGACAGATTTTCATAACAATAAAATAATTCCGTATATTATAAAAATTTAATAACTATATGAATTGAATTGTAATAGGTAATTATGAAAGGGGCAGTGTTTTTAACTTGCTACAAATTATGAGAAATACTCAATATGTAATTAATGCAAAGTAAAATTATTGTTTGCGTAGAAATTGCTAGAAATCGGTGGTGGTGCTGGGAGATTATTTGCAAAGTACCCGGATAATTGTCACTGTTATGCATTGGATTTAAATCCACATTTCGAGCCTTATTTTAGACAAAATATTTCCAAATACCCGACCATTGAGTTGAAGGACTACATCGTCGGAGATATGGAGGATATGCACCAAATCGGCGACAACTCTATGGATGCCGTCATTTGGTGTGCGGTCTTATGTTCGGTCAATAGTCCCACGAAAGCACTGAAGGAAGTCATGAGGGTTTTGAAACCGGTATACAATCTCTCTCTCTCTCTCTCTCTCTCTCTCTCTCTCTCT